GGGAGGTGCAGTTTTCAACATACAAACAGGAAGCCCAACTTCGGGAATTTGAATTCCTGCCTCATTCACCTTACACTGTTAAACCCCAAATCTAAATACTATACCTACTATGATCACCCCCAAGATTTTAAACAGAGCTAAGATAATCAGTTGAGTAACTCTATTAAAAACAGCCTAAAGGCAATGATTTCAACATTGAAAACAGAAAGCTGGGGAGAGCCACATGGACAGTGGAGAAAGGGGGGTGAGATGGAAAATTTCTCTGGTAGTAGCCAAGAGAATGGTTTTCAAGGTGCGTAAGAGCAACCTGTACGAGGGAAGCAGGATGATTCACATCTCCACAGAGACAGTCACATTACCTTAAAAGATTTTAGGTAAATCTTATGAAAATGAGCTAATGGTGAAGGATGAGAAAGAACAATGAACCACTGAAATGGGTGGCCTAGGGAAACATTTAGAGGAAGCATCATCTCCCTACCATGTGACCCATGGGGTCAATTGAACATGGGGTCAATAAGTTTGAGAAGGCTTCTGAGTGCTAAAGAAATGCCCCCTTTCTCTTGCCAAAGCATCTCGGCCTCCTCACCCCTCCCCATGGGAGTGTCAGGATGGTGCTTTGTGATGTCTAAGTTTCTCTCCCAGAGCTACCATTAGCTGGAGGAGAGGCTTCCTGATTAATTAAAGCCTAGGAGGTGTGGGCCCTCATTGTCCTGGAGAAAAGCATATGTTCAGGAGGCCTGGGGTAGGGCCCTGGGAAATTTTGACATGGTGAAGATGACCAGGAAACCACAAACTCCTAGCACAGTTATGTAACAACCAACCCCATTCACCAAAAGAAGTAAAAGAGGAAGAAGCCCTGTTAACCCAGGTCCAGTGTCCAGGATGAAAGGGCCACACCCAAACTTCTCCTCTTCTTTAGTGGCATCTCCCCAAGACTCCCTGGTCTTGCCTGGCAGATTCCATCCTCAACCCATACTTTTTCTCATGAAGACTTTTTCCCCTTTCATCCCAGCCATTTCCTCACAAACCAATGTCCTGTGCTCACTCTGTTGTCCTTCCTGGTACTAAAGACATCCATGGAGGTGAAAATTCCTTGAATTTAAGGGAATTCAAGGAAAGGAGCCTTTCCAAAAATTCCTACCCCTTCAAGAAAACCTACGAAAGCTATAAAACCAACAATATGTGGCCATCATCACAGGCCAAATGAGGAACTGAATAAAAATGATCCAGGAAAAGACCAAGACAAAAATTCTTGTAGAAAAATTCACCACCTCAAGTGACAACTTGGACAGCCAGTAACTTCAGAGCAAGGCCAGAGACCTCAGAACTATCTATGAAGTCTCTGAAGTCTGGCCCCCAAGAAATGCTGACAGTATGGAAGCCAAATTTTACACCTACAGGTACACCAATAGTGATGATTAAAATAAAATTCATAAGGGGTTCACTTCCAGTGTAAGCATAATTTGCAGACAATTTTTATTAACTTTATTGGGATAACATCTATACTAATAAAAGAGTAATATGCTGATTAGACCAGGAGACTTTCCAGAGACCTGGACGTCCTTCCAGAAAAAACCATGGTCTCGGGGCTGAGGCAGAGGTGGTTAGGGGCAATCAGGCCAGCAGGGGAGAGCAGTTGGGGGCAATCAGGCCATCAGGGTAGAGCAGTTAGGGCGATCAGGCCAGCAGGCAAAGGCAGTTAGGGGCAATCAGGCTGGCAGGCAGAACGGTTAGGTGCAATCAGGCTGGCAGGCAGAATGGTTAGGGGCAATCAGGCTGGCAGGCAGAATGGTTAGGGGCAATCAGGCAGGCATGTGAGCAGTTAGGAGCCAGTGGTCCTGGATTATGAGAGGGATGTCTGACTGCAGGATTGGGCCTAAACAGGCAGTCGGACATCCCGCGAGGGGTGCCGGGTTGGAGAGAGTGCAGGCTGGGTTGAGGGACCCACCTCCCCACCGTGTACAAATTTCGTGCACCGGGCCTCTAGTTGAGATATAAGTTCTTTACATAGTCTACAGAGAAGTCCCTTATTAGAAACATTACTTGCAAAAAAATTTTTGCATTTTGTGGATGTTTTCACTTTATTGATGGTATCCTTTGAAACACAAGTTTTGATATCATGCAAATAGAGATAGTTTTACTTCTTTCAAATCTGGGTGCCTGTTATTGTGCAGGTGGCTCCAGAAGAGTTCAGGTGACCCATCTCGTCTCAAATCTTGGGTGCCTTTTCTTGTCTTACTGCCCTGGCTAGAACTTTTAGTAAACTGTGAAACAGAAGTGGTGAGAATGGACATCCTTGTCTTGTTCCTGTGAATTTACAAGGTCTGCAAGGCAATCTGCAAAAATGGAAGTGTTGGGACTATTAGTGTAGTTTGTTTTCTTTAAAGATAGACTAATTAAAATTTGTATATTTTTAATACTTTATGTAAATATTTCATAGAATACATGTATGTTCTCTGAGGGCAGATGCCACCTAAAATAAACATGCCTTTGTCCTGGGTGTGTTCCTGTCGGCAGACTGTTCCAGCACTTACACGTGTGTTCACACCTTGTCCTCACAACAGTCCTGGAGAGCAGATACAACCTTCGGTATGACAGGTGGGAAAATTACTCCCGGTGAATTTCATGCCACCAGTGAGTTGGCATTCCAGCCCAGGTCTAATTTCAAAACTTCTGCTCTTCCCACTCTTCCATGCTGCTTTTCAAGTTTATGGAAAACCTCCCCCTTTAAAAAATCATGTAGCAATAAGCATTGTGTAAGGCTCAGTCTAGAACATGAAAACACTTTCAAAACACACCAAAAAAATGCATGTCCAATTTTTTTGGCTTTTTAAAATCACTGTTTATTCCATTTGGTAGAGGGTGTTTTTTTTTTTTCCATACAAATATTTGCAACAATTTTGAATTCCCCAAAACCATACATAGACGATAAATACCATGCTATTAAAGTATTAAATTTGTACAAAAATACTTTACAGTTTAATACTTGTTTGTTACAAATAAAAATACATATTTAAGTGACTCATGATCTTTTTTTTTTTTTTCTAACATGATTCTGCTTTATACTTTCTTGCCCTGGCGGTCCTGAAATGTGATCGAAATGATATATTTCTCTGCACAGAAAGAAAAGTGAACTTTTTCCTTAAACAAAGGACACAGTGTTCAAATGCTTCATCTAAGCGGTCGGTCGTTTGAATTATTGACCAAAATGAAACAACGTCTGGAAAATAACTGTTTCAATGTGGATATTCTACAATCAATATACAGATCTATTTGTTTTTTACATTCACCAAATAACAGTTATTAGTGTAACTATTCAAAATATCTGAACAAAGGGAAACAGTTGCTGACAAACATTAATGCAACTGTCACAGTTTATTGCTCTGAGGGATGGTAATAATTGGCAATGCGTTTTGTGGAAAGTGTATTTACAATCTCGGTGCGTGGCATGGCTCAGAACAAAAGACAGTCCAGTGTCATTTTTAAGTCCATGTGCTGTACACCCCTCAACAGAACCTGTTTTTAAAACACGTCAAGCAAGATGAGTTTGATTTGCCTATCCTTAAGAGAAACCTCGTTTTAATAGACTTCATTCTTAAATTCTTAGTTTTGAATTTTTAAAAAGAAGATAACTAACTCTCAGTGTTACTAAACACCCTAATTCATTATCTGAGATTTTCAGCTATTAAAAATGTGTCCTTAAAGGAAAAAAAAAACCAACAGGTAACAAGACATATCCTGTTTGATCATTTGTTGCATAGGGAATAGCATACATCTTAGTTAAAATCATTCCTATACTTGGGCAAAACAGTTCCCACCACCTATTAGGAGCGCCCACGTGCATCATTGCGGAAACATCTTAGGATAATTTTCTACCTGCACCCCTCCCCTAGCAGCCGCCCGGCAGTCACCAAACTAGTTCCCCCAGTAGAGCCAGCTTTACGGATTAATGACTTCATAGTAAGAAACTGATTTCAAAGTGAGTTAAGGAAATTATCATAGAGACTATTTTCAAACAGACGTTTTCCAAAAATCGATAGGAAGATGAGCTTGTAAAAAATGCCCTCCGATGTTCATTGTGGGAGGGGTGGCCTACCTCTTTTTCTGTTTCTTTACCATTGGGCTTGGCAGGGAATCGTCTTCCACATACCATAGTGATCACCAAAAAAGAAACCTCTTCTACGTGGAAAGGGAAGTGAACATGAGCCATGAGAGAGATTTAAAAGACCCCTGTGCTTGCAGTTAATGCCACGTGATTATCTGTGCTTCAAACGTCACAGAAATCTTAAAGGGATTTTTTTTTTTTAGCACCATGTAGATATTGTCTTTTGTCCTGCTTTATAAAAAGCGTTGCTATAATGTATTAGTGGGCTCTCGAATCTCCAAATTACCACCGTGGCTAGGCTGCTGGAAAAAAGCACTGTTCTGTTCGCTCCATCCTCCCGGGAGAGTCTGGTCTATAGATTTCTGGGAGGCCAGTGGGTTCCTACTGATCACCAGGTCCAGCTTGTTACCAGATTCCGCTATGAGGGGCACCACCAGGCAGCAGTCAAAGTCCCGCGTTCGCACGTGATTAACCTGAAAGGTCAAGAGGGGCCATCCTGAGTCATTGGTATGTTCTTCAAATCATTCCCAAACCCAGAGGATCCCTTCAGGCATCAGGAGTCGTCTTAAAGGTATTCAAAGCTGCACCTGTACTGACAAGTCCATCCCTGCTCTGGGCAAACCATAACACACTCATTGGCTAACATAGTCCCTGCTACTCAATGTTAATGTCCCGGAGAGCTGGGAACAAGGACACATCGCCCCCATGCAGAACAGACTGCCTCGCTCACGGCAGGTGCTCCAAGTGCGGAATGAATATTATCCCCAATTTACAGATGAGGACAGTGAGGCACAGAGTGGTTCAGAGATTTGCCTTAAAGAAGCAATTGGGTAAGTGGTCCCGCTAGGATGTGTGATCCCAGGCCGTCTGGTGGACTCCAAAAACCCATTCTCTCTTTTTTTAAAATATATTTTTATTGATTTCAGAGAGGAAGGGAGAGGGAGAGGGAGAGAGAGAAACATCAATGAGAGAGAACCATAGATCGGCTGCCTCCTGCACATCCCCTACTGGGGATTGAACCCACAACCCGGGCATGTGCCCTGACCAGGAATGGAACAGTGACCTCCTGGTTCATAGATGGATGCTCAACCACTGAGCCACACCGCAGGGCAAAAAGCCCGGGCTCTTGACCATGATGCTGAGCCACCCTCTTAGGGAACCTTACCCCCCCTCCGCCCCCTTCCTCAGCGCACACAGGCACTCATCTCCTGGCTTCCTCTTTATTCTTCACCAACAACAGTTGTTAAAATCGACATGCTGCTTCCATTCTGTGACTTTCCATTCTCTCCCCAGTCTGACCTGACGCTCATAGTATACAAATGACCCCAATTGTCCACACAGGAGCCGTGTCTCGGGGTGTCGTTCCCTTTGGCTTTCAGCACCAGCTGCTCTGGACACCCACCCATCCTTAAGCCTCCCCGTCCTGGGCTCCTAGGACGCTACTTTGCTTTGATCCTCTTACCATTTTAACTGCTCGCTCTCGGTCCTTTCCTGCCTCTATTTCGTCCTGTCCTTTAAATTTTGTTTTTCTTATAATTCTATCCTTGGTTCTCTTCTCTTTATTACTACAAGTCCACCATAGGCAACTTTATCCGAACCCACACCTTCAGCATCCTAAATCGTCAGCTCTGACTCTAACAGCTCTTCTGAGCAACAAATCCAAACCGCCTCCCAGACGGCTCTACCAGGATGCACTGAGGTATGACAGGTGTTGTGCCAGTGTCTTTCCCATACCTGTCTCCTTTCCTGTGATCTTCCCTTCCCCTCTCCCCCACCCCAACGCACCCATGATAGTATTGTATGTTTTTCCAAATTATAAATTGTGTCATTTTGCTTAAGAAATCAATATACCTCCAGAATGAGCTTGGCATCCAAGTTCATTCTGGAGGTATGACATCTTGACAGCTTGCAATGACATCCAAGACTCTTCACAACCTGCACCCAATCTACTTTGATAGCCTCCACCTGCATGCAAATAGGTATAGTTCCAATTCATGGGCGAGGAAGACACTCTTAGAGGGTAACTTGTCCATAGTCATTCATTCATCAAATATAAAAGCACCAACGGAAAACAAAAGTGTCCCACACTTCTAGGACAAGACTAATTGTTCTCTTGCCATGGCAAAAATGATCCCCAGAATTGGTTGTAAAACTGTCTAACTGATCAACGTGTTCAGTGAACACGCCTCAGTGCAGCCTCATGCTTTCAAAGCCAGCTGTTTGGTGACACACTCATTCCAGTCAAACACACTTTTAAGATGGATGCCAATCCTTTCCTTTTCCTGCAAAATGTTATTCCTAAAAACTGTACAGAAGAAGTGGCTTGGCCCTAGCCAGTTTGGCTCAGTGGATAGAGCGTTGGCCCTGCAGACTGAAGGGTCCTGGGTTTGATTCTGGTCAAGGGCATGTACCTCTTGCAGGCTGGATCCTCCCCGGTCAGGTCAGCATGTGTGCGGGAGGCAACCAATCGATGTATCTCTCACATCAATGTTTCTCTCTCTCAGTCTCTCTCCCTCCCTTACACTCTCTCTCTGAAAATCCCTGGGAAAATGTCCTCAGGTGAAGATTAACAACAAAGAATTTGCTTTGCTCAATGAAACTACACCTGACCACGATAGGACTCCATCAAGTAAACAAGGTTCAGTGTTGGTTAGAGATTGAGCTATCAAGCATCAGCCAATGGGAGAACAAGGCACTGGCTCCATTCTTAAGAAGTGTAAGATCTGCTGGGGCATCAATACAGGGAAACAGGCAATTTCAATAACCGGTAAATCCTATCAGAGGAAAAGCTTCTATCCTGATCTAGTCCCTGGGCAAAGGAGGATGGGGGTGGGGGGGCTTTGGTCAAGAAAGACTCAGAGGGTAAAATTAATGAAAATTCACCTGCGGTCTTACCTGTAAGAGCCTGTCATAGGGCTTTAAGCCACCGAGGTCTCCCGGCCCCGCGGGGCGAATGTTTTTGACGTACACGCCCTTCTCCAGCAGGCCATCTGCCACACTGAACCCGAAGTCCTCCATGTCCGAGCTCTTGTACAAGGTCACCTGGAATAGGAGAACGTGTGGCGGGGTCATTTTAGCCAGGTTGGAGACTGGGGCCTGTGAATCTTCTTGACCAACCATCTTTTCAAACTCATTTCAATCACATAATGGATTTGTAATACATTAGGCAGCTACCCCCCACCTTCCCTAGAATATCCTTGGAATTTGTAAACTTCCACCAGAACAGAAAAATAAGGAAGAGAAAAGCTGGAGAGGCCTGGCCTTCTTTTTTTTTTTTTTTAATAGCAGTTCCCAGGTACATGTGAGACTTGGACCAGGGCAAGCTGACTTCTCTACTTTCCTGGACAGCTCTCCAGTGCGGGGAGCAGCCAGGGCGGCCCTCAGTCCTGCTGGAAACCAGGACAGAGCCGAAGGCCCTTCCTTCCGGCCCCGCCCTGCCTGGGGCCCTGCTGGGTACCAGGCCCAGCGTTTCCTCCTCCTCTGAGCAAGTCTCGTGAAGTCCATCATTTTATTCGCTCTGGTGCCGCAATCATGACTCCAATAATGTTGGTAAAGCAAGCAAACCAACAAAAACACCTACAAGTGCTCCTGTAACAAACCCCTTGCTCTGGGCCCGGCTTCAGCAGCTCCCTCTGTATGTGTGGAGGGTTGGGTGGAGCAGCTCAAGGCATTCCCCCTTCTCAGCTGTGGGCCACAGCTGGTTCTCTCTACACCTGAGACCAGTTAAGCTCCCCACAAGGCTCATCTCTCCACCTGACCATCTGCAAGAGTTAGCCTGAGGTTCCTTCACTCATCCAATCAGGCCTACTTTCATCAAATGGGGATTGAGTCCCCACCCTGTTCTGGGCACAGTTCTGGGCACAGCAAACAACAGTGAACGAGAGAGAAGAGCCTGCCTCCCAGAGGCCCGCGCACTGGTATGTAATGTTCCCCGAGCACAGTGCGGGGCTCTGTTGGGGGCGTGCTTAGCGCCTCACACTCATTTCATACTTAAAGGCGCCCACTGTTTGTCCTAAGGCTGCCAAATGCCCTCCGCAAAACCCTGTGCACACTTCAAGCCATGACTTGGGCTTACTTTTTTACCGTCGTGGTTTAAAAACATGCCTTTTAGTTTACTTTCACACAAATAATATGGGGACGCGTTCTTGTAGACGAGTAAAAAATTCAGAGCTGTTCAGAGCAAAACGTGAAGATGAAAACTTTTAGAGCAGGTTTATTTTTTTATACCCAGTCATTTTAGTTCAGAGAGGCAGGACACATGGAAGGAAGCAGGAAAGTGGCCAGGGTGCGGATTTTTATTTTACTGGACAGAGAGCTAAAGCACCTGCTGGCTGGGTCAGCATAATTCACCAGGCAGCCCTAGTGGTTACTGCCATGTTGGAGGTGAGAAAATTCTATTTTATAGAGGGTTAGTAACTTGCCCAAGATCACAAAGGTGACGGATGGTGGGGCTGAGTTTGTCTGACTACAGACACGGAGCACTCCACTGTCGCGCAAAAGGCCTTATTTCATAGATTCCAAGAGGCACTACTTTTTTTAATATTTTAAAATCTCTGAAATCAGACTGTTTTATTTTCAATGGCATCTTAGAGCCTGTGAAATAAGGCACGTGATATGTGCTGATACATCAGCATATACTAGCATATGGTTTTAAAATCTGAAATGGCCCGGTTTCTGTGGAAGGATCACTTCTGTGGCGTTCAGTTCCACAAAGACAGAGCAGTCAGCACCGCTGTACTATATAGAAGACACGTGTGCGCCTGCGCGGGTGTGTGTGGTTTAGAAAATCCAGCCCCGCTCCCCATCGGAATGCACCCTTTGATGTTTGGGGAGAAGTGCGTTAAAACTGAGTAAATGAGAACATGCTCTTCCCCTCCCTCCACCCCGCATCCCCAAAGCAAATCCCATCAGGAGTGGAGGAGACGATTTTCTTGGTGACTTGGGCTCAGGTGAAGTAGGGGAGGATGTGGAAGATGCCCCTTCAGGGAGCTTGAGAGGAGCAAGGACCTTTGGGATATTCATTTACATATCCCAAACCCTAATCCGGTGCCTGCCACATAGGAGGGTTGGTATTTTTGTTGAATAAATTAAAAGATTGGTTCTGACAGTCAGTACTGTCCACCGTAAGCTGGGAGTGTGAACTAGGCTGGGCCCCGACGAGGATCCAATGGCGCCACCTGGTGGTCACAGCAGGTGAGAGCACCTCTAACATTGAGCCAGGCCTGTCCCACAGGAGAGAGATGGATGGAAGGTTGAGCAGGAGATGCTGGACTTCTGGCTAATAAGGTCTGTGGGATTTGGTGAGCAGATTAACAAGCAAACAGAATGCTACCGTCTCTACCAAGTTTGTGGAGCAGATCACATGGACAGGGAAAGGAAGGCTCAGAGAGGGTTAGAAACCTGCAACAGAGTGGTTCTGACTGAGAAGTTCGGATCGCTCCATGGTACACTTCCTTAGTAAATGCTCATTTCAGAGAAGAATTTTTAGGCCCCTCTATAATCACGATTTGTCATAGGCCATAGGATAGGAGAGAAAGCTATTTTTAATTTTTTCCCAATTTTATTAAGATACAATTGACGTACAGCTCTGTATAAGTTTGAGGTACACAGAATAATGAATTGACATAAACATATTGGGAAATAATTACCACAATAAGTTTTGCTAGGAGAAAGCTATTTTTTAATGAAAAAAATGTCAAACACACTCAAGAGCAGAGAGAGTAGAACAATGAATCCCCACATACTCACCAGTCAGACCCAACAACCATCAATAGCTCACCACACTTACTTCATCCACCCTTCTGTTTTCTTTTTGGGGGTGGTATTTTCAGGCAAATACCAGTCCTCATGCCATTTCACTCTTACATACCTCAGTATGAACTCTAAAAAACATGAACTCTTCCTATGTAACCTCAATGCCACTAATTCATTTGCAAAATCAACTCTTACTCCTTGATATACTCCAATACCTAGTCCATAATACAATTTCTCTGATTGTCTCAAAAGTGGTTTTTAGAGCTGGTTTGCTCAAATCCGAACAAGGTCCACACATTATGTTTGCTTTCAATCTCTCTTTCTCCACCCCCCGCCCCTTAAAATACATTTCTATTGATTTCAGAGAGGAAAGGAACGGGACATAGAAACATCAATGATGAGAGAGAATTATTGATCGGCTGCCTCCTGCATGCCCCCTACTGAGGATCGAGCCCACAACCTGAGCATGTGCCCTGACTGAGAATCGAACCATGACCTCCTGGTTCATAGGTCGATGCTTAACCACTGAGCCATACCAACTGGGCTCTATCTCTTAAATGTCCTTTTATCTAGAGTATGCCCCCGTCTTGTTTTCTCTGTGCTGCTGACTTATTGTGGAAATGGTGTCATTTGTCATTAGCATGCTCTTTTATCCCCCGTATGTCCTCTAAATAGATGTGAGCTCTGGATGCTTGATTGGAGTCAGAGGGGGAAGGGTTTCCTATATAATAAAAGGCTAATATGCAAATCGACCAAACTGCGGAACAACCGAACAACTGGTTGCTATAACGTGTGCTGACCATCAGGGGGTGCACACTGAACATGGCAGGCATCAGCAGCAGGTGGCAGAGCGCAGAACATGGCGGGCATAGGCCAAGGCCAGATGGTGGAGCAGGTAAGCGGAGGTGCCAGACCAAGGCAGGGTGCCAGTCACTGTCATTCAGGCAAGCCCCTGGTGGTTACTGAAAATTCTTTGCTCCTGCATGCCACCATCCCGCCTGGTGCTCGCACCCACTGCCAGCACCTGGCGCCGGTCCCGATCACTTGGTGCCATCAGCGGGTGCGAGCGGTGGCTGCCAGCCCTGATCGCCCCTCAGGTCTTATCCACCTCCCCCTGCTCCCGAAGGGCGATCGGGGCAGCAGCCCCCACTTGCACCTGCTGCTGGCGCCAGCCCCAACCACTCTGTGCCATCAGCAGGGCCATCGCTGTCAGCACGTGGGAGCAGTGGTGGCAGGAGTGGGGATGCTGGCAGACAGGGGACTGGGGGCCGCGGCAGGAGGGGCTGGGTTGGGGCACGAAGGATGGGCCAAGACCCACCCCTATCCCCACCGCAGCCTCGCAGCCCACAATTCCTTTCAAGGTGCACGAATTCATGCACTGGGCCCCTAGTAAAGATATATTATCACAGATGGACAGTGTGCTTCCTATGACATCTTGTCACTCAATGTCTAGTCCACTAGACATTGGGTTCCAGTGATGACAGCTCAATTTCTCCACTGTAAGGCTCCCTATCAACTTTTAATCTAGTGGTTTTATCCACTGATGACCTTGCTCTGAATAAATACTTTCATTAGGGCTTGCAGGGTGATAATCTTTTTCTAATCCTATAATATCTTCTGTATTAGCTACAATTCTTTTGTAAAGAGGACTTCTCCTTTCCTCAATTAGTGCTATTTGATTACTCTGAAGTACAGAGTTTGTACAAGAACAGCAAAGGGAATGCTAATTCTTTCCTTTTGTCCTTAGAATAGGAAATTAGGGCACTAAATACTTCCAATGGTGTCCCAGGGAGGGTTTTTTGGGAGGAGGAATGACTTTTGTTAAGTAAAATATCAATATAAACCTTTGATGATCAATTGTGTCATCGTTACTTTGGATGCTCAAATTACCTCATCTTTGACCAAGGAGAGTCCTTAATGTTGACTCCTATGTCCTTGTGATATGACCCATTTGTTATAACTTCTTGGCTTTCTAGCTCCAGCTGTCACAGCCCCACTATGGATATTTCCTGTTCCCCATCTGGAATCAGCCATACCTCCAAGGAGCCTTGATTGCAGAAAACATTTCTGGCTTATGTACCAGTCCTTCCCTCCCCTCCCCATGCTCCTCTCCCAAAGAGAGGAAGAGGAATGGGGGGATGAGGGCACAGAGGAGGAGGAGGTGGGTGGCTAATAGGATTGTGGCACCCTGCATCCTTCGGGCCCTGTTTCCTAGAGGGAGAAATCTCTCTGCTCAGGGTCCCTGCTTATGTGCCCTTTGGCTTGGTCTGTGCCTTGTCTGTGGGACC